TCCTAAAACTTAGGGCCTGTTCAGGGTTTAGGCTTTAGGGTTTAGCCTCAAGGCATAAAATAGCAGCAGCAACGCGGCTCCGCTGAGCTGCATGAGTGAGCCAATAAACAAGCAGTCGATTCAATCAAATAAATAGTTTGAAAAGCAATAATTTGAATCAATTTATAAATTTAATTAATTGCTTAATTAAAATTTTAATCAAATAATTAATTAATTTTTAGTTTTCAAGAAAAGCTGTCCTTACTTCCATCAGCTCCATCGCAACGGCGCACTCCCGATAAGTCTTCTTGTCCGCCAGCACCTGCAGCAGAAGCAGCAGCAGCAGCAGCAATAGTAGTAGTAGCAGCAGCAGCAGCAGGTGCAGCAACAGCAGTAGGCAGCAGCAGGAGGCGGTAGCAGAAGCAGCAGCAGTAGGCGGTAGCAGAAACAGCACGAGTAGCAGTAGCAGCAACAGTAGTGACAGTAGCAGCAGCAGCAGCAGCAGTAGTAGTAGCGGCAGCAGCAGCAGCAGCGGCAGCAGCAGCAGCAGCAAGGGCGAAGCTTCCCGCTTCTAGTTCAGTCTTTCGCCCAGCTCCTGAACCCCAAACCCTAAACCCTAAACACTAAACCCTAAACCCTGGTTACTTTTTCTTTGGAAAGAATGCATTTGAGTTTTTCTTCTTGCAGAATTCTCCGGACTCTGTTTCCTCTCCACCAAGATTGAATTAAAACAACAGCAGCATGAGTGGCAGCCATTTGCAGCCGCAGCACCTTGGGCAGCAAAAACCTGCAGCAAACAAACCCCAACCCAAACCCTAAACCCTAAGCCCTAAACCCTAAACCCTAAACCTTAAACCCTGAACTCTAAACGCTAAGCAGCAGACAGACACGCATGCAGCTCTAAGCGTCGAACTGTGTGCCTTCCTTCTCCATAAACGTTTTAGGTTTATAAAAATGTATTTATTTAACACGAACATTTACAAAATTAGAAATATATATATAGAAGAGGAAAAATGCATATATGGATATGCCTTTATCCACATATGAACTTTTTAATATATGCATATATATAATAATCATATATATATTGTATGTACATATATACATATATACACATATAGTATTTATATATATATAGAATATATACACACTTACGCCTACACAGATAGAGTTTTTACTTAGTTGTGCAGTTCGAGACCGAATGTGCTGCTGCTGCAGTTGCTTTTGAAGCAGCTGCTGCAGCTGCTGCTGCTGTGCTGCCTAGCGATGTGTTCTATTTTTACGGCCTCATCTTCGGACTATTACTCTGTTGCATTAAATTTCGCAATAAATATATTAATAATGCATTTTAAAATATGTTTTATGTTAATAATATGTAAAAATGCACTTTGTGCACGCACGACATGCACACAAGCAGCCTGCGCAAATATAACAAAATGCCTGTACATACACCACAAATATGAACATATATAGCCTCCACATAGCTAAAAAACGCGGATAAATGAATTAATTAATTAAATCTAAATAAACAAAAATTGGAGAAAAAACGATGAAAATCCCACTTTTGCATCGTGTAAGCTGCCTGCGTCACGTGCTGCAGCCGGTGCAGCACCAAAAAGGTCCTTGCGGCGTTCTGCAGCAGCAAACGGCTTTGGTCTTCTCTTATGCCTTTTCGGACGTTTCCAAATCTGAAAAAACAAAAAAGAAATAAAACCATTTCACCAACAATCAGACACGGTTCTTGCATTCTCGGAGAATAAGGCGCCTGTAAAGGAACATTTAAAAGGTCTAATTGAAAAGATTCTCGTTAATTTTGAATTTGCAAAAAAAAATTTATTTTTATGTGTATATAACATGCATGCGCGTTTACATATTCGCGATTGGGCTGAAAATGCAAATTCCAGAAATGCAAAATGGGCATTTGTATTTTTGAATTCAACAGAATGCATGCAGATGAATAAATCAAGAAAATATAAATAAGTAATTATAGCAAATTTGTTTAAATACATCCCACAGAGTTTTTCAAACAAGTGAAAACCAGCAAAACGAACAAAAAGAACTTCCGTTGATTTCTTTTTCATTTTTTATTTTTCCCCTTTAACCTACAGCGTCGCATGTTTGGCGTAAAACGGGCTTCGGCGCACCCTGTAGCCCCTCCAGTGTCTCTGCAGCACGCCAGACAAACCCTAAACCCTAAACCCTAAACCCTAAACCCTAAACCCTGACTGGGACCCCGCGAATTGCTCTTTCTGAGTGCGCTGTTTTACTGCTGCGCGCCACTTGCGCCCGCCTTTGCCTCAATTTGTTATTTATTTATTTATTTATTTATTATTTATTAATTAACTATTATTATTCTTTTCTTTTTATGAATTGTCTTCACCTGTATGACTATTGCGTAGGGCGTGAGGTACTTCATGAGCGCGAGCCTCAGGCGGGCGACATAGCCTCTCCAGAGGGTTTGGATTTTAATTGCGGCTTCATTTTCTTTTTTTTCTCTTTTTAAATCATTTAAAATGCGTTTTGCCTTTATTATTTTGTACAAACCCTGAATAACAGCCGCGGCTTTCTGCTCTTTCCGGTGGTGAGCGACGCGCCGCCACCGCAGGCCGCTCACGCCCGCGAGGGTGATCTGAGCGAAAAAATCCCCAAAAACTCCGAAATAAATTTATTTATTTATTTATTTTTTATAATTATCTACAATTTTATTGTTTTCTGCCACTTCTAGCGGTGAATAAATGGTGGATCGACTCCCCCTCAGTCAATGCACCCGCAGGATTGCAGAAACGGCAGCAAGACGAAAAGAAACTGAGAAGACTCTGAAGGGGTTTAGGGTTTAGGGTTTGCGCAGCTCTAAACCCTAGACCCTAAACCCTCAACTCCGAATGAATACAACACTTGCAGGCCCTTGCGAGCCCGTAAAAGCCAACACACTAAATCCATATACTATTTATTTTCCTAAAAAAAGCAACCGCGGCACAAACGACAAATCTAGGGTTTAGGGTTTAGGGTTTATGGTTTTTTGCTTATTCACCTTGCGTGTTTCTCTCATCAATTTTCCCATCTTCGCCTTTCGAATGATTGCAGCCGTTCTGCAGAACGCCACGAAAAAGTAAGGCAGCCCAAGGGTTTAGGGTTTAGGATCTAGGGTTTAGGGTTTAGGGTTTGGTGTTTAGGGCTTCTCACTCACTGTTTGCGTGCTCTGTACCCTCTGTACATCTTTTGTATTTGAATTGCAGCCAGTGTACGGCGCTGCTGGAACCTGAAGAGCTCAGACACAAAACACGAGGGTTTAGGGTTTAGGGTTTAGGGAATTTGAGTCTCTGGCTGCAAGGCTTTTGCACTCTGCAAACAAATTAGGAACAGCTTGAAATTCATGCAACTTATGTTTCCGACAGATTTTATTTACTGCTGCTGCTGCTGCTGTCTATTGAGCAAATGCTGCTGCGAACAAATGCAGCAGCACAAGCTCTAAAGACAGCGGCAGCAGCAGCAGCCGCAGCAGAAAGAGCAGCAGCGGCCACAACAGCAGCAGCTGCTGCCGCCGCAGCAGCAGAAAGAGCAGCAGCAACCGCAACAGCAGCAGCTGCTGCCACAGCAGCAGCAGCAGCAGAAGCAGAAAGAGCAGCAGCAACTGCAGCAGCAGCAGCAGCAGCAGCAGCAGCAGCAAACTCACAGGCAGAGCTTCATGGTGGCAACAGCTCCTACGAAAGTTCTCAAAAGTTCAATCTTTTTAAATTGATCTTTTCTAATTTGGTAGCGGCGCATCAAAGACTGCAGCCGAACAACTCGCGTGGCGAACTGCAGGTATAGTCTGAAAGAAGCAACGCGCACCAAACCCTAAACCCTAAACCCTAAACCCTAACCCCTACACAGTCCCTGCATAGTGAGATCCACTCTAGCCCCTGTTAGAACGAGTGGAGATTCCGAACTCCCGATTAAAAGCGAGTCCCTGGCCCCCCAAAACCCCAAACCCTAAACCCTAAACCCTAAACCGTCGGACGACCGTGAGGCGTGGCGGCCTCGTTTTAGCGGTTGGAGGCAGCGCGTGCCTCAGGGAAACCCCTAAACCCTAAATCCTAGGGCTCACGTGCGGGCCTTGGCAGCTCTGTAAATGGACTGGAGGTTCACAATGAGGGGCTTGAGGTTGGCCATTGCAGACCTGAAATACTGGTCTATTACTAACCACCCTTTTTTCCGCAAAAAGATTTTAGTTGACCCCAATTGGTATTCTTCTTTGGGAACTCCCAGGCGCTCCAGCATCGTCAAACTCGCGGTCTTGTCGTCGCCGCCCTCCTGCCCACAAACCCCAAACCCTAAACCCTAAACCCTAAACCCTGAACCCTAAGCCCTAACCCTCTTACGCGCTGGGACTCGGTCCCGAGCCCCCACGGGCCTGTCCGATGAGGCAAGCGCTTTGAGGGGAGAACAGACCACAGCTAGCCACCTGTCTAGCTAGCTAGCTCTTCAGCTAGCTAGCTCAGCAGCTAGCTAAATCGGCAGCTAGCTAGCTAGCCAGCTAGCTGTGGGTCCCTCATTGTTCGACTAACTAGCTGCCCACTCACGCCATTTACGACTCCCCGAGCTAGCTCACTAATTCGCTAGCTAGCTCGGCAGCTAGCTAGACAGCTAGCTCGGCAGCTAGCTAGACAGCTAGCTCGGCAGCTAGCTAGCTAGCTCGACAGCGAGCTAGCTAGCTAGATAGCTGGATAACCAGCTCTGCAGCTACATCGCTAGCTACGTAGCTAGCTACGCAGCTAGCTAGGCATTTCACTCGACAGCTAGATAGCTAGCTAGGCCATTATCTAGGCAGCTAGCTGCGCAGCTAGCTAGGCAGCTAGCCAGGCAGATCGCCAGGCAGCTATCTATGCAGCTATGTGTGCAGCTAGCGAGGTAGCTAGCTAGGCAACTAGCCAGGCAGCTATCTGTGCAGCCATCTGTGCAGCTAGCTGTGCAGCTAGCTGTGCAGCTAGCTGTGCAGCTAGCTGTGCAGCTAGCTGTGCAGCTAGCTAGGAGCTGACCAGCTTTGCCCCGAGGACCTTGAGGAGAATGTTGTTGTCTGCGACGAAGTCCGCGAAAGAAGCTCTGTAGGCAAAGCCCTTGTGAATAATTGCAACAGCTTCCAAAACCGAAAGACTGATGAGCTGTCCCAAAGTGTTTTCAGTTTCAAACACCCGCGGCTTCTTCACTTGGTTCGGCTTTATGCACCTGCAGCAGCAACGCAGCAGCAGCAGCAGCAGCAGCAGCGGCTGCTGCAGCAGAGGCCCGTCATCGCGCCCGCGGGATAGCTGCGCCTAGCTGAGGCAGCTTCCTAGCTAGCCAGCTAGCTAGCTAGCTAGCTAGCTTCAGGCAGCCAGCTACTGGCTACATGACTGCTCGCTAGGTCACTCGCTAGCAAGCTAGGTCACTGATCGCCTCGCTCCCTAGCTAGCTAGCTAGCTAGCTAGCTAGCAAGTGTAGCTTGATGGCTCTCTGATTCCCCAGCTCGTTCGCTAGCTAGCCGGCTAGAAAGGCAGCGAGCCCAGCGGGCCAGCCAGTCAGCTAGCTAGCTAGCCAGCCGATTCGCCCGCTGTCTAGCTAGCTAGCTAGCTAGCTAGCTAGCTCTCTAGCTAGCTAGCTCTCTAGCCAGCTACCTCTCTAGCCACCTAGCTCTCTAGCTAGCTAGCTATCTCTCTAGCTAGGTAGCTAGCTATCTCTCTAGCCAGCTAGCTAGCTAGCTAGCTAGGGGCTTGCCTGCAGAAGTGAGCCCTGGAGGCTTTGAGGGTGGCCATGAGGTTGTTCATGGACTGCTGGAATTTGGAGCCAACGAATTTGCCCTTCATGTTTTTGGAGTCGGGAACTTCGACTCCGGCGAAGGCCTTTTTGATGGCCAAGTTCGAGGCCTCCTTGAAAGCTGCGATCAACTCGTTCGGAAGCCTGAGACGCAGCAGCAAAACCAACCTTTGCTGCTGCTGCTGCTGCTGCTGCTGCTGCTGATGGTGCTGCTGCTGGTGGTGCTGCTGATGCTGGTGGTGGTGGTGGTGCTGCTGGGGACGCTGGGGATGACTAGTGCGGCCTGCTGCTGCTGCTGCTGCTGTTCTGCTGCTGCCTGGTGCGGTATGCTGCTGCTGACTGCTGCACTATCTGTGCTGAGACAAATATATGTTTTAAATTTATTTTCATTATTTAATTAAGACATTTTAATATATTTAAAGGACTTTCTGATAAATATTTCTTTTGGTATCTTGCAAATGCAAATTCGCAAGTTGTGCATGCTAGTGAATCTGAACAAACACCTTTTAATGTTTTAAAGAACAAAATAAAATGTTTTTAAATGTAATTTAATTATTTTGTTTTTAAAATGCAAAACAGCGTTTCCAAATGCAATTAAATTCATTTAAAAGTGCTAATGTTTGAAATCGTTTTCTGATATACTTCAAAACAAAACAAAATGTTTCTAAATGCATTTTAACTCATTAAAAGGCTCTAATGTTTGAAATTGTTTCCTGAAATACTTCAAAACAAAATAAAATGCTTTTAAATGCAATTAAATTCATTTAAAGTTCTAATCTTTGAAATTGTTTTTTGAAATACCTCATTTTGTTCTTTGGCACAAACTCAGTAGTGGTGTACAGCACGGGAGCCGCAGTGTGCAAAACTCTAAAAGTTAATCTTGCGTCGCCTTTGGGGGTTTCGTAATTAGGGTTTTTGATGTTTTTGTGACAAGCAGCAGTGAAAGACTCGCTGGTTCCTGCGGCCAAACAGCAGCAAAACCCTCTTTTAGGGTTTAGGGTTTAAAGTTTAGGCTGGGGTTTAAGGCGCTTTGGGCAAGCAGCAGTGAAAGTCTCGCTGATCCGTGCAGGCAAGCAGAAGCAAAAGGCCCTTTGAGGGTTTAGGGTTTAGAGTTTAGGTAAGGGTTTAAGCCGGGCCTCCAGGGTTTAGGGTTTAGGGTTTCGGGCAAACCCTTAAAAAGCGCAATTCAGTTTATTTTATTGGGAACTAAAGTGGAAGCAAAGAAAAAGCAAAACACAAGACAAGAAGCACGAAGGGGCATTTCAGGTGCATAGGCAGCTCAAACTAAAGTCAGATTCCGAAGACCGCAGGACTTTTCGCATTTATTTTAAATTTTAGATTTATTTATTATTTATTTTATGATTAATTGATTATATTTGCACCTGTTTGCAACAAACACTGTTCTTCCAAAAAGGCGAAAATGCCCGCCTTGGGCTTGTCAAAAACTTCCAAGACAGAAGCATTATCGGAGTACACAATCATGGAGTGGTCTATGCCCTCCGCCTCATATTCCGCTTTCTGAAACCCACGCTCAGCTCAAACCCTAAACCCTAAACCCTAAACCCTGGACCCTAAGCTCTAAAACCTAGTCAGGTGCCGCAAGCCCGAGCTGCCAACCCACGCAGCAAGCCCTAAACCCTAAACCCTACTCAGAGGCCTCAAGCCCTAAGTCCTCAACTGAGGCAGTAAACCCGAGTTGCTAAACCCTAGTTCAAGCCCTTAGTCCCTAAACCCTCAAATGAAGCACTAAACCCTAAACCCCAGGCCCCGGCACCGAAACCGTAGGCAAAGCAGCAGCAGAAAAGCTGGAGGATCCCTCATGCTTCTAAACCCTGAATGAGGGTTTTGGAGCTCCTAGAGTTTAGGGTTTAGGGTGTAGGGTTTGGCACCTCTGCCTGGAAAACTTGCTGAATGAAAAACTGCTGCAGGCGCTCGTTGGCGTAGTTAATAAGGAATTGTTCGTAGCTGTTTTTTTCAAAGAATTCAAAACCATAAATGTCCAGAATCTGCATGTAAAGAAGCAGAAAGGCATGCAGAGAGTCAGAAATGCATGCAGAGAAGCAGAAATTAATGCAGAGAAGCAGAAATGCATGCAAAACAAAACAAAGAAGTGCATTTTGCACGAGTTTTCTCAATTTGGTTTGCATTTCGCATTCCCAATGCAGTTTTAGAAGCGGCTTGACTGCACAAATGCATTTAAATGGATTTAATTATGATTTAAATGCTCAATTAAGTTATTTAAATGTCGAATTATATTATTTCAATGCCAGTTGTGCTGTAGACTCGCAGGCGAGTGAGGCTGCATGCATGCGCGGGCTGGTGTCTGCGCAACTCACTCCTATCCAAACTTTGTTTTCGTGATCGAAGCTGATTTTGCTGTTGAAAGACTCGACAATAAAGTCAAACAAAACACTGTAGACTTCCTTTGCCATTGAACGACACATTACCAGCGCCTGCTCTGCAGATAAAGGACTTTTTATTATGTTTCCCCGCACTTCAACAGTGTTGATGGTCAAAGCCTGAAACCCGCAAACGAAAAACAGGAAAAGAAACACTTAGCCGATATCTCCCGATTCTTTTTCTTTCTTCACTTTGAAATATCTACAAATAGCATATTTAATTTTACTTAAATGCAGGATTTTGGGGATTCAGATGCTTATGCGCAGTTGGGATATTTCTGCATGCGTCGCTGCGCTGCTTGCGTTTTGTTATGGAAGCCCGAAACCCCAAACCCTAAACCCTAAACCCTAGACCCTAGACCCTAGACCCTAATGCGGTGCGAAACAAACCTCCACCAACGTATTTTTCTTGGCTCCAAAAAGGGAAGCAATTTTGTCGAAGTCGCCTTCGTTTTGCAGCTTTGCTGCTCTGCAGCGCAGCAGAAAGAAAGGCAAAAAGGCGAAATAAATAAAGAAAAGGACAAACTTTGGAGATATTAGTGAAACATTTAAATGAATAAAAGAATAAGAGTGACAGGCAAATAGATAAAGAAACGAAACCAGAAGTCAAACAAAGAAAGTCGAATACGAGCAAATAGAGGTGAGACACAAACCCAGCAAAAGAAAGCGCATGCAAACAAATCTGCTAATGAAATATGAGTTGCAAATAAAGAAATTAAACCAAAAAAACTATAAAAGTAAAGTTAATTGAACTCTTCTCAAACTCTTCTCAGGCCTGCCATTCAGCTTATAATAGACAAAAGCAGCAGCATGTTGCAGACACAAAAGCAACAAATTTGTATTTTTCTGGAAGACTTGCGAAAGTATTTACTTGTCTGTGCCCATTGCCTGCACATTATTGAACTTAATGTTTCCACAAAGCAAGACAGCAGACAAAGCCTTGAAATAAGCCAGCTGCTCTTCTTTGGAGAAAATCAGACTGCAGCACACAGCCAGACAAGGACATTTTACGTTCAAACACAACTGTGTTGCTGCTGCAGCTGCTGCAGCTGCTGCAGCTGCTGCAGCTGCTGCAGCTGCTGCTGGTGCCGGGCGTGAACTGCAGAGCCGGTTTGCAGCAACGACGGTAGCTGCAGCAGCAGCGACATCTCCCGCTGCTGCCGCTGCTGCTGCTGCCGCTGCTGCTGCTGCTGCTGCTGCTCTCTCACTCGAGCTGTTTCCTGACATCTGCGAATTCCTGGAGGTCGTTAACAGTCTCGACTTCGTAGCAGCCGCTTTTGTTGAGGAATTCGTATTCGGTGGCTTGTTTGATTTCGCAGCTGGCCTTCTCTTCGCCGGTGAGCCCTTTGATCATTTGGTAGAAAATGTGGTAATTGCGTTCGCCCTGGCCTTGAAATTCAATTCGAGACAACTCCAACATGTAGTTGTTGATGAGCCCCCCGTGAATGCCTCCTGTGGGCGCGACTTCGAGCTTGACGAAGCGCCCGAAACGGGAAGAGTTGTTGTTGCGCAAGGTCCTGAGTTCGCGGAAAGCAACAAAAAGAAGGGCAGAAGCAGTAAAATAAACGCTAATTCGTTGTTTTAAACGGAAAAAGAAGTGCAAATGCGGGAAGCGCGGAGCCAGCGCGAGAAAAGCTGCACAAAAGCGGCCAGCCCGCCACCGCGGAAATTCAACTTTTTGAATTTCACGGAAAGCGCAGCCCCCAGCCCGAAACGCGGGTTAATTTGAGCACAAAACTCGAAATGCGACTGAGACAAAGGCGGATCAGCGAGTTTAATCGGGAGAAGTGCAAGGTGGAGGCATATTCATGTTTCGTGGCTGGGGAAGCGCTGCAGGCGAACTTGGCGTTTCCGACGGCCTCCAGCACCGGGTTTGCCCCCAAAATTATGTCTTGCACTCGCGAGCCTCGCGAGCCTTCCTTGTCGCTGGCGAAGTACTGCATGAGCTGCCTGGCAGTTTCCGTTTTGCCCGCACCGCTCTCCCCAGACACCACGCAAGACTGGTTTTCCTTGCACACCCGCATCAAGTCCATTGCGCACTGCGCCACCGCGTACGTGTGCGGGGGCAACTCCGGTGGAAAGCCCCGCGAAGTGTCTGCGTTTTGGTAGCGCGTTATGGCCGCGGGCTCGTAGAGCCCCGCTATGGCTTTGAAGGGGTTCAGCGCTATCAGCAGGCGGCCCGCGTACGTCTGCAAACACCCTCCAAACCCTAAACCCTAAACCCTAAACCCTCGGAAAGAGACGGGAGACGCGAGGCAGTGCGCACTCGGCGGGGAGCTCTGAAGCTAGGGCTGCCGAACAATAGACTGCGAACTGGGAACTGGGAACCCTCGCTTCTAACCCTTCAACCCCAAACCCTACACCCTACACCTAAACCCTAAACCCTAAACCCTAATCTGAACGCAGCAGGTGAGCCATTCGGCACTGCTAAGACGACGAGCCAGCGGGCCCTGGCGCGCAATCAAAGGCTGCGTTAGCTGGATCCTGCCTTCGCTGTACTGCTGCATCTCTGCTGCTGCTGCGCTGCTGCTGCAGCGCTGCTGCTGCGCTGCTGCTGCAGCGCTGCTGCTGCGCTGCTGCTGCAGCAGGGCGTACGTAGATGATGTCGCGGAGGTATCTCTCGCGGATGATGTGGAGGGCGGCGGCCTCGTTGGCGTGGGGCAGCTTGGAAAGGTCGTTGCAGCTTTCGGGGGAAACCCCTACATTAGCGTTTAGACATTCTTCTTGCTGCACAGTTTTGGAAACTCCTTCAACTTCAACATTCAATGAAGTCCCCGAAATCGAAACCACCTTCGCCAGCGCGTACAGCTCCTCCCTCTCCTTCTCCCGCACCCACACGTTCGAGCCCACCAAGTAGTCCCCGAGTTCCACCACGGAGTACTTGCGTTCGAGTTTGGCCTTCGCCTTGGGGGCCCCGGGGGCCCCCGGGGGCCCCCCGGGGGCCCCCCCCTTCTTGCCCCCCGCCTTCGCCTCCATTTGCCCCCAGAGGGGCCCCGCGCTGCAGCTGTGCGCCCGCGCTGCAGCCAAAGGCTTGTGGCGCGCTAAGGGCCGCGGCGCGGGCGAGGCTTCGAGAGGGAAAGCTGCTGCCGCTGCCAAGTCCACATAGCGCCCTCAGCAGCAGCAAAGATGCTTGCAAAGACAAATGCAAGGGAAAGCACTAGTGAGAAACGGGGGAGCTGCTGCAGCGCCGCGCAGACGCGAAGCTTCGCTGGTCTTGAGGCTCCAGCATGCGACCGCGGCCACACGAGAGCGACGCCCACGCCCCAACACTTCGGCGCTCAAATAAAGCTAATTATTTCGCTTTCTGCTGCTGCTCTCCCAAATTCGCGACAGATCCTCCACGGGAAACCCTCGAAGTCGCGTCACCGCCTCTGCCGCCCTGGACCAGCTCAGGGCGCAGCTAGGCTAGCGGTGCCGTCGATTCTGCTGCATTCCACGAATTCAAATCCTGATCCGCACACTTTTAAAGTGTGTTTCTTCAAAAACTTCAGACTTTTGCTATTTTGGCCTAAGAATTCCAGCCGAGCACTCGTGTTTCACCGTCTCGCTAGCACTCTCCGCTTCGGGCTTCCTGCGATGTACATACACTGCGCACTTTTCCATTGCAGCTCCCTCTTTTTCGCTTGTATTTCTTTATTTTGGTTATATATTTATATTAGTGTTTTTACATTTAGGGTCTTTGCAATTTAGTGAGGCTGGTGAAGACGCTGCTCGCACCACCCGGCTGACCACCTGTCCACTGCGCCTCGTCATTCAATTCAGTAGAGATCAAGCGCGAGCTCTGCCGATAAATGGAGGCCAATTTACTTCAATTTAACTTAATTTTCTAAATATTATTTAAAGCTGAAAGTTTGTTCCTAATTTTAGCCCAGCAATTCAGAATTTGTCCGCGGCTCTGTGGACCGCCCTGCGGCGGTCTCACCGCCCGGGAAAGCTCACCCACTCACACCCTGGGACGAAGTCCCTTTCATTCAAACAAAAAGATTTAATAAACTTTTAAAATAAAATCTGATAAATAAAACTGAACAGAACGCATGCACTTTTCGTTCTTACGAGACACTGCACAAAATTGCTGCCTGCAGACACTGTAAGCAGTCTCAACTTATCTGTCTTGCCAGTTTTCTCTCCATTTTTGTTTTTCTTTGTTTTCTTTTGCATCTTCTGCAGCTATAAAATTAGGAGGTGCTGCAGCTGGCCTCTGCGCCGAACTGGAGGCTGCTGCTGAGAAGCAGATGCAGCAGACTTCCGAGAACAGCACAAGGACACTGGAGCCGACTGGAGCTTCGCTAGCAATAAACTGCCCCTGCTACTGCTGGTACTGCTGCTGCTGCTGCTGCTGGTACTGCTGCTGCTGCTGCTGCATGCCTCATGAGCTCCGCCTTTCACTTCCACCTTGTGGTTGTTTCAATTGTGTAGTGCTGTGACACTACAATGGGGCTGACTAGTGTCCTAGGGATGATAGCTAGCTAGCGACCTGCAAGGGGCCCTGACACTGGAGGGGGCAGGACCCCCCCCAATACATGAAAAAATAAGAAAACCGTTAGTGAGTTCTAGTGAAAAACGTGAATTGTGCGGAAATCGTGTGGAGACTGGGGCTGGCGATAGCGCCGGCACCAATGCGAACTCCCCCCCTAGGGTCTAGGGGGTAGCTCCGAGAAGGGAGCGAATCAGAGACAGAGAACACACACACTTCGTGAATCGCCGTATTTCGACGGAATAGAGCGGTAGAGACCGAGAAATGGGGCTAATCTAGGTGTAGAATGCAGACCTGTAGAGGGACAGGAAACAGCGTAGTCGCAGCAGTAGGCGCCGCGCACTACAAATTGCCTCTAGGAATATTTTGTCACTAGTTGACTTCAGTTGTGCTGAAGAGCTCAGTGGCCATTAGCGAGAAGGACTTCCCGAGTGTACTTCTCTTAGAGAAGCACGAAAAGTCAAGTATTTGCTTACAGGAATATCCCAGTTTTTGTCTTTGTGTGGAGATTAGCGGCTCATCTAAAGAAAATCTGGAGTCAGCAGCTTCCTAGAAGCACGTTTTTGCTGGAACTGTGCGGTCCCCTAATGAGAGCCAGCGGAAAAAGAAAACAACTTTCGTGGGGCCCTCCTGAGCACTTCATTGTCGCCGAAAATGAAGGCTTTTTTTAGACTATTTGGGAGGTTTTGAAAGTTTATTTATAGGCATAAACCTGTCTAGCTGCAACGGAGGAAACAAGCAGCAGCCAAACTAGCACTTAATGAGCCCCTGAAATGCGATAGATGCCCCAAGGGGGCATAAATGGCTGCTACTTGTTTCACCTTTGTGGCCACACAGGTTCATACTCATCACTGCATTTTCGAGACACCTTCTGAGTTTTGAAAGGACAAAAAGAGCATCACTGTAGATCATTTTCAAGTATTAATTGGCTGTCTGCCCGACACTTCTTTTTCCGCATGGACCAGATTTCCAGAGCAGCTTCAGTGCCTCCTGCCAGCCCCAAGCCCTGGGCATAGCTGCAGCGCTCAGGGGCTTTACACTTGAGAGCTTATTTCCTTTACGTGTTTGTTACTTCCAGTTATTTCTTCAGTCCACAGATTCTGAATTAATTGGTCTTGGAGGCCATTTCTGGGCTACATTGTAATGATGCTCACTCCACTGCATGCATTCATATCCCTGCAAGCACGCAGCCATTTGTGAAAGGCTCTTCTCTTCGACAGACATCTCTATTCTGTGCACATATTCGAGTACGCAAAACACTGCGTATTCACTTTCACATATACGCAGCGCTACTGGGGGGCTGGGCTGCATGCACTGGCAGCAGCTTGAACCAAAAAGATTTCATGCAAAAGCCCTGCTTGGGGTAGCATATAAAGACCATGTCATTGCTTGGGTACACTTCGTAAAAGATAGAGAACTTTCGAAACCTGCACAGGCATTTGCATGCTTTGTGCTAAAGTCCGGCAGCAGCAGCCCCCAAGCTACCGCAGCTGGGGCTTGAGGCCTATGGGGCTATTTTGGCAGCAGCTAACTGCGCCTCATTGGGTCTTCTAGGAAATTATGGTCTCAGTGCCGAGGCGACTTTCTCCGTCAAACAGCAGAGAAAACCCAGGCAGTCTCCCGAGTCAAAATGGCTATCTTCTCAGCTCGTCTCAGAAAACTGCGGAGAAGAGAGCCCGCCTCTACACTCTCCTTCTGGGCTATGCAGAGCTGGCAGCACTTCCCAGCCTGACGTTTCCTTAGCCAATTCAGTGGCAGGCCGGGCCAAGGCTGCAGCGGCCAGGCGAGCCTGGCCTGTGCCTTAGGGTGAAACTGGTGGGCCATGAAGTTGAGTAGATGCCGGCTGTTGCCGGGAATAAAGAAAAGCCAGAACTTGTGATTGTTCGTGTGTGACCTGTCTATGCGTAGCCCTTGTCGAAAAGAGCTGCTTTTTTTCTAAAAGATGCAAGCAAGAGTGTCCTGGCGAGTGCAGAAGAGCAGATAAATGCCTGCAAAATGTACGGGCATGCAAGTGCCTGAGCTCCGTGGTGTAACTTGCGCGTAAATGGTCTCAGAGTTTCGCTTTGACATAACTTGGCTGTCCTCCAGGCCAAAACGGACAGGCCTGGAGTGAAGTGCCGGGCCTGTTGCTGCGTGGCTTATTGGCTATTTGCTGCTGTCAGTGTGCTAGGGCAGCCTGGGACTGCAACATATGAGAGCACCTCGCTAGAGTGTGGGGGCAATAGGCAAACAAAGTCAATTAAAAAAGCCAGAAATTGGAAAACATATCTCACAATGTGGCCTTCCAACAAAGACTTATTCTCGCGAGATCTCCAGCGGAGGGCACAGACTCTTGCAGCACTTTGCGGTCATTTCAGTTTGTGGCTGAATTTAAAAGGAATGCATTCAAGAGCATTTGCTAGCAGCTAGCTGCCGCCACCTACTGCAGCAGCAACTGGCTTTTCTCGCCTTCTTCTGGCGCGTTTGCTGCAAGCTTGTCCAAGCAGCAGCAGATGGGAGTTTGCCTCTACTTTGCGAAACTAAAGTTGTTGCTAGAGGCCCAACAAAACTCAAGCTAGGGAAATTTAAAGACGGGTAAAAATTGGAAGTCAACTGCTCAAAAGAAAAGCCGCTTGAGTCTTTTAAAGTGGAGCTTCTGAGGGGAAAACTGGAAACAAGAATTCGGAAAAAAAACTGTCATGAGTTTAATAAAACTCTTTTATTTTTTCTCCACTGCGGAGGCCCTTTTGTGCTGACGCTGGATTCTAATTTTAGCCGAAGTTTAAGCTAGCAAACTAGTCTTAATTTGAACAGCAACAGTTGCATGCGAGATAGCCCAGACAAGGTCATTTGGGCTTTAGAGTCAGTTAGTTGTGTGCCAATCCTTTGGGCCTTGTTTGTCAGATCAATTTGGGAAAATAGACTTTTGAAGATCCTTTTAAAAGCCTGATTAATTTGAGAAAATATTCTTTTGAAAGCCCCTTTAGCTGTGCGCTGTTGGCCTACGCTGCCCCTGTGGCTGTACACTAGGGCCCTCGCCGCTGCTGCATTCAGAAACTGCTGCAAGGCTGGTGCTGTCAGTACACCCCGCTGCAGACAGTTTGCACTCTAAGTCTCGCTCTATTGACTTCGACTAAATCACCAGCAAAGCTGCAGCAGCTGCAGCAGCAGCAGCAAATCACCGGGGCCCCAGGCTCTGCAGGGCCTTCCCTTTTGCTAAAGGGGTTGGGCCGCGGCGCTTTCGGGAAAAGGCTTAAGTGCTTTCTCTGTAGAAGTTGCACTCATTAGGCTGAAGTGTGTTTCCCCCCTAAAGACGGAGGCAATTTCGATCTCTTTCGCGAGAGAAAAACATTCCAATTGCAATTTCCTGAGACTTTCCAGTGATCTGCAGTCTAGTGGGCAAAGAAAACCTCTATGGTCATCCTTTTGGTGCTGCAGCAAAGGAAAACTTGAACAAGTTTGAACTCCCCGCTGGGATTGCTCCTCCGGGCTCTCCAAAAGCGGCCAGGGTCTCGAGCTGTGGGGCAGCAAAATTGCATTAAATGAAGCTTTATATAATGCAAAAATAAAGAAAGTTTAAAGTGCATTCGTCTTCCAGGTGTATCTGCTGCTTCGACGCAGAAGGTCCGTATACACTGCGGGCCCGAGTGCATCGCCGCAGCGCAGGTTGACCAGGGGCGATCCTCCTCTAAAAATTCATCTTTGTCACCAAAAACAGGGTTAGAACGGAAGGAAAATAATAATTAAACCGTTCTATCTCTTGTTTAAAAAAGAGAAAGCACCGGTTGGGCTGCTGCCGCGGCTCTTAGCAGACCGAACACCTCCCGTAGTCAGCAACGGAGCCCGCTGCGTGGCTCTTGTCCACAGTCGTCGCTTCTTCTGCGCAGAAAGAGATTTGTATTGAGTTAGTTGGGAACTCAATTGCTTTTTTCAAGTTTAAACGTCCAGCTTTCCTCTAAGATCGAGCCACAGCCGGGACGCCAGCCTGGGGGGGCGATACGCGCCGCAGCGCTCGATGCTGCAGCAGCATCAGCAGCAGCAGCAGCAGAACTGCTGCTGCAGTTGCTGGTGTACGCTGGACTGCCACCTGTTCTGCCCCTGAATTGCTGCACCTCCACTTGTTGGCGCATGCCCGGTGCTTCCTCTGAGCAGCAGCAGCAGTCCCAAATGTTGCTGCCGCTGCCTTTGCTGGGCATGACGTGGCTACGGGGCCTCATGGAGGAAGCCTGGAGCAGCAGCAGCAGCAGCAGCAGGCGGGGTGGCGGGTGCTGCTCGCAGCGCCGGCCCCCCAGCCGCTGCAGCAGCAGCAGCAGCAGCCGCAGCAGCAGCAGCAGTAGCGGCCGCGCCTCGGGGAAGCCCGCTGTCCTTGGGATCGTCTTCGCCCTGGGGATCGTCTCCCTCTCGAGTGTCTCCTCAGTTGCAGCAGATGAGGGTTTCTTCTTTGCTGCTCCCTGGTCTAGCCAGACGCTGCAGCAGCTGCAGGGGGCCCTCAGCAGCAGCCACTTGGGGGCCTTGTTCGGCAAAATACAGGCCAAGCCAGCAGCACCAGCAGCAGCACCAGCAGCAGCAGCAAACGAGGCCCCGAGGGAGGCCAGCAAAGGGCCCTTTGCCCCTGCTGCTGCTCCTTTTGTCTCTGTGCATGCAGCTCCACAAGAGCCCCCCGTGCAGCAGCTGCAGCAGCTGCAGACGGTCATGCTGCAGCCGCTACAGCCGCTGCAGCCGCTGCAGCGGCGGCCACTGCCGCAGCAGGTCCCGCACCCGCTGGTGCCGCAGCCGCTGCTGCAGCAGCAGCAGCAGCAGCAGCAGCTGCCGTTCGGTCCCCACATGCTCGGACAAACCAAGGTTGCCCGTGCTGCAGCAGCAGCAGAAGCTGCTGTTCAGGAGCTGCGGCTGCTGCGCAACTCTGTGAGGGACTTTATGGCTTCTCTGGAGCAGCAGGTTTCCCTGCGCATGCAGGGCCAGCACGACCTTCAGCAGCAGCAGCAGCAGCAGCAGCTGCTGCTGCAGCAGTGGGAACCCCATGAGTGCCTGCGGCCTTATGCGTTTGCTGCTGCTGTTTCCCGGTCGCTGCAGCAGCAGCAGGTAGAAGCAGCACTAGGGGCACTTCGCGAGGCACTCAAGGAGGCCTCCGCACAAGTAATGGACAGCGAGCAGCAGCAGCAGCAGCAGCAGCAACAACAACAGCAGCAGCCTGAGGCCTCCTGGGAAGGGTCTTCATTTCTAAGTGACCTTTCTGGCTCTTCTGTGTCATGGGGCTCTTCGGAGGACAGCAGCGGGGGTGCTGACGAGGTGCTGCCAGCGCAGCAGCAGCAGCAGCAGCAGCAGCCGCTGCAGCAACAGCAGCTGCAGCTGCTGCAGCTGCAGCAGCAGCAGCAGCTGCTGCTGCTGCAGCGCGTGGAGGAGCTCGAGCAGCAAAGCCAAGCGGACAGGACTTACATGGAGCAGCAGCTAGGAGTCATTTTTGAATTTACAGAAGCTTGTGCTGCTGCTGCTGTTGTGGGGCTGCATGCAGAAGTGGCAGGTTTGACTGAAGATGTGGCGGCGGTGCTGCAGCACGACGAGCGCCTTGCTGCTGCTGCTGCTGCTGCGCTGCAGCAGGTCGTGCTGCTGCTGGGGGACCGCCCCTCCATGCAAGAAGTGCTTGCGGACGCACAGAAGGCGTTGGAGTCTGTGCTGCAGCCGGCGCTGCTGCAGCTGGCGCAGCAGCAGCAGCAGCAGCAGCAGCAGCGGCTGCAGGTGCTGCAGCGCCTCAAAAGCACCCGCAGGCGGCTCACGCTGCTGACAGAGACAGCAGCAGGAATAGCCAAAGCAGCAGCAGATGGGGAGGCCCCCCTGGGGGGCCCCCTCTGCAGTTTGCTGCTGCAGCAGTGGCAGCAGCTGCAGCCCCCAGACTTCTTGGGAAGGCTGCTGCTGGCCAGGCAGCTGCAGCACGAGCAGGTCTTAGAAAGCATGCGGTCTTTGGTGAAAGCAGCACAGGCTTTTTTGGCTTTCAACGCGCCAGCGGCAGCAGCAGCAGCAGCAGCAGCAGCAGACAAGGACAGGCGGCACAAGGGCTCCAAACAGCCGCCCCACGGCCAGCTCCACCTGCAGCTGGAGCTCCAGCAGCAGCTGCAGCAGCTGCAGCAGCTGCAGCAGCTGCAGCAGCAGCTGCAGCAGCAGCTAGGAAGCAGCAGCAACGCCTTCGGGGACCTCCTTTTAAACCCCCAAACTGAAAAAGTAGACCAGCTGCTGGCAGCAGCTGCAACTTTGCGCAGAGCTGCGCTGCAGCTAGCAGCAGCACTTCACAGGGCTGTGGGGCCCCTGCAGCAGCACGGGGGCCCCCTGGGGGCCCCCCCCGTGTCTGCTGCGGGGCCCCTCTCTCAGGAGGCGCTGCTGCAGGTGCAGCAGCTAGGCTTTGTCGACACTATGAGGGACCTGCAGCAGCAGCTGCTGCTGCAGTCGCAGCGGCTCACTGCAGCAACAAGCAAACTAGACGCAACAGCAGCAGCGCAGCGCGCTGCTGCTGAAGCAGCAGCAACAGCAGCAGCAGCAGCGAGGCTCTGGGATATCGACACTGAGGCGTGGCAGCGAGCGCTGCAGCAGCGGCAGCAGCGGCGGCAGCAGCAGCGGCAGCAGCGGCAGCAGCAGCAGCAGCGGGAGCAAAGTTTGGAGGAGGAGGAGGAGGGCTACAGCGGCCTGGCTGAGACAGAAGCAGCAGCAGCAGCTGCTGCTGCTGCTGCTGCGACAGGTGCAGCAGCAGCAAACAGGGAATTCACTCTAGAGGACGAAGAGGAGCCCCTAGAAGGCCCCGGCAGAATTGCAGATTTGCAAGACAGCTCTGATGCTGCTGCTGCTGCTGCTGCTGCACCGGTTTCAGCAGCAGCTGGTGTGCCGTCGGACGCAGCAGCAGCAGCAGCAGCAGCAGAGGAAGCAGCAGCTCTGCTGCAGCGCAGCTTGTCGCTGTGTCTGCTGGAGGTGCGGGGTTTGATGGAAGCTGGCAGCTCCATGTATATGAAGGCGCAGCAGCTACTTGCTGCTGCTCTTGCTGCTGCTGCTGCTCGAGATCAAATGGATTTGCTGCTCTTCAGGCAAAGAGAAATCAAAGAAAGAAATGTTGCAGCTGAAGGAATTCGGGAGCAGCTGAGACAAGAGCTCCGGCGGCAGGCAGCAAGCACAGCGAAACTGGCAGCAGCAGCAGCAGCTGCAGCAGCAGCAGGCCAGCCCGCAGGGGCCCCAAGCTACTAATCAGAGAAACAGAAATATTTCCAGATATTTAGAATTATTATTTTTATCAAATAAAAGAACTGAAGTTTCGCATCCGCCGTTTCGTTTGCCTTTCTTGTGAGCTGCTCTGAGGTGTATGGACACCGCAGGCGCGCAGCAGCAGCAGCAGCAGCAGCAGCAGCA